GTTAGCCGGGATGGTCTCGATCTCCTGACCTCGTGATCCGCCCCTCTCGGCCTCCCAAAGTGCTGGGATTACAGGCTTGAGCCACCGCGCCCGGCCAGAAAAAATACTTTCAATTACATTTTGTAGGACAGGCGCGGTGGCTTATGCCTGTGATACTAGCACTTTGGGAAGGCCAAGGCAAGTGGACTGCTTGAGTCCAGGAATTTTAGATCAACCTGGACAACATGGGAAAATCCTGTCTCTACAAACAATACAAAAATTAGCTGGATGTGGTGGTACACATGTGTAGTCCCAACTAATGGGGTGGCTGAAGCAAGAGGCTCATTTGAGCCAAGGAGGTCAAGATTGCAGTGGGCTAAGATCGTGCCTCTGGACTCCAGCCTGGGTGACAGAGTGAGACCTTGTCTGAACCCCCCCACCAAAAAAAAAAAAAAGGGATTATAACTAATTAAGCGTTCATTGGAAATAACTTCCTTTAATTAAATTGGAATCCCAGTAAAATCTCTGTCCAGTTTAACAAAATATTTTAAAGAGTTCAAGGAAGAAAAATGTCAAACAACTCGGGAATTTAAAAAATAAAACTATAGTATGTTTTTAAAAGGAACTATTATAAACTAACTTCAGATAATACTTGGAAGAGCTAGCTGTAGCTGTAATTGAATTCAATTTATTACTCATACAACTCTGATCAATTTGTCCATTACTTTTTTTAAATGGAATCTCACTCTGTACCCTAACCTGGAGTGCAGTGGCGTGATCTCAGCTCACTACAACCTCTGCCTGCCGGGTTCAAGCGACTCTCCTGCCTCAGTCTCCTGAGTAGCTGGGATTACAGGCACGCACCACCATGCCCGGTTAAGTTTTGTATTTTTAGTAGAGACGGAGTTTCACCATGTTGGTCAGGCTCGAACTCCTGACCTCATGATCCACCTGCCTCAGCCTCCCAAAGTGCTGGCACCATTTTTTAGCTTTTCTCAACCTTTAAGGTAATGCCCATTGTGATTTTAGTTCAGTTGATCAGTCTCCAGACTAGGTGTGACTGATACATTTCCCATCAGAAAATTCTCCCTGCCATATGGTTGGAAATCAATATGATCTCCTTCCGTAAATATCTATTGAGAGACCAACAATTTTTTGATGTTGTAAGTAATATAAAAGAAATTCACGTCTCGCTCCTGTCATTTTGAAAAGTATGTTGATAAGTTTCTGATAAAGTTGCTTTATGTTTACAAAGAGAAGCCATAATATCCTGAGTTTCAAAACATCTACTAGATCAAAATAGCCATAGGTCTGTGACTTTGGTCATAATTCAATCAATAAGAATTGACATCTCTTCTGTAGTTTAGGGCTCAATGTGACCAGCCTTCCTACCTTTGATAAATGCTCTTTCCAACAGGTACTTCAAAGCTTCCATCATCAACACATGTAGTCCTTTAAGGGCTTGGCTGCTCAGTGGCAGTCATGGTGGCTTATAAATTACCCATTTATAGTAGGTTTTTGGCTTTTGAAGCTGAGTCAATTTCTTGAAGTTTCTGGTCCTCTCTTCTCTGGAAACAGCTTTGCCCCTCTTTACTACAGTCCCATTCCTTCGGGTGGAGCCTCTTACATTTCCTAAACACCTGAAATCTTCACTCCTCCCTTAGAGAAAAAACTCTCTTGACATGTCAGAATTTGGGTCACTTTAGTTCTTTCCTCACAAATGACTTCACTATCCTTTAGCCATTCCTTCAGTACATGTATGATAACACTTGTATGATGATACTATCTAACATTTATGGAGGACTTTGTTCTAGCACCGTTTAAAGCACTCTACCTAATTTGTTTGGTTTATAGTAAAATTATGAAGCAGGAGCTATTATTTGTATTTCACAGATGAAGAAATTGAAGTGCAAAGAACTTTAATACTTTGCCTGAGGTTGCAAGAACTGGAATCTGCACCCTAGTAGCTTAACACCAGAGGTCAAATTCTTAAACATTGCAAAGATATAGACTGCCCAAGAACCTTGCTAAACTTCAGTCATACATTAATACCATTTTCTTTGCAAGAATCTATGTTGTTTGTTCCTTACTTAAGTGGGAAGGATATGTGCAAGATAAGGTAGCCAGGGATTTAAGTCTGGCAACAGTTGGACTGCTGGGTTTTCAGAGAAGTGTTCCCCAAAGCAAATTATGGTGCTAATTTCCAGTGTTCCATAAGCACAGCAAGAAAAATGGGAAGTTCTCGGTAAGGTATATAGTATTATTTCTAGAAATAAAGATGAACCAATCCAAGATTGGTTTTTTGTTTGTTTAATCCTGGCAGTATTCTGAACTAAATCATATTTATTCTTCCCTTTACCTTCCATTTTTTTCTTTTTTTTTTTTTTTTTTTTTAGTAGAGACGGGG